TTTTTTTTTCCTGCTTTGCTCCCTAAACCCTTTTCCCTACTCTTCTCCCTAAACTCCCCTTTCCCTTCTCTGCTCTTTTTCCCTTTTTTTTCCTTTTCTCCCTTTTTTTTCCCTTTTTCCCTTTTTTTCCCTTTGCTCTTGTCATTCAACTCCCTTTCCAGCTTTCAAATCCACAGCCCCACCATCCATCCCTCTTAAATATCCTGAAAAATTTCACCCTCTTCAATATTTCTTTTTATACAACAACAAATCCAGGGCTGAATCCTTAGGGATGGATCCATAGGGATAAATTCCCAGAGTTAAATCCTTAGGGAAAAGCCAATTTTTGAGTTTTCTGGCTCCATTTACCCCAAAGGGAATGACCCAAAACCTTTTCAGAGCCTCTAAATGACTTGGGAAATCTCAAATTTAGCAGCTGATCACAAGGATTTGGAATGATCCAAGATTTTTCTGCCTCAACCTTTCAAATCCTCATTCCCAAGCCTAAAAACAGGGGAATCAGTGGGGGAAAAAAAAGGATAATTTAGGGGTTTTTTTCCCCTTCTTGACATAAATGATATAATCCTGTCAGGAAAAAGCAGCAGTGACTCAGCTCTTAGCAAGGAAAAGCTGTTCCATGTCTCCTCCTGCTTTTTTTTCCCAAATTTTGGGGGTTCAGGGTGGGAATTCTGTATCACAGCAGGATAGGGATGGGTTGGGGGTGATGAGGAGGTATTTTTCCAGCCTTTTCCAGAGGATTCCATCATGGTCCTTCAGGAAATGATATGGATTTAGGGAGGGAGAAATGCACAGGGAAAGGATGAGATTTCCAGGGGTGATTTTTCAGGAAAAAAAAAAAAAAGGTACATTTGATTCATTTTGCCCTTTTTTTCCTGGCAGAAAAAGGTATTAGGGACAACTCAGTTTTGATCTCCAGGATGGATTTTAGGAGGAGCAGTTGGGATGGGATTAAATCCATTCCTGTTCTTCCTTCCAAGGTTTTGTTTGGATGGGGAAACTGAGGGATGAGGTGAGGGTTATGGAAAATCAGAGAGAAAAAAAAAAATCAGAAGCAAAATCATGAATAAAACCAAGCTCAAACCTTCTTAGACCCAACTAGACCTTGAGTTGACCCAACTAGACCTTCATTAGACCCAACTAGACCTTGAGTTAACCCAACTAGACCTTGAGTTGACCCAAATAGACTTGAGTTGACCCAACTAGGCCTTCATTAGACCCAACTAGATCTTCATTAGACCCAACTAGACCTTCAGTTGACCCAAATAGACCTTCAGTTAGACCTTGAGTTGACCCAACTAGACCTTGAGTTGACCCAACTAGACCTTCATTAGACCCAACTCGACCCAAATCCTCCACAACTCCTTTCTCACGGATCAACATAAGAAATCCTTGAGCTTTTCAACCACTTTGAGGGCAACTTCTGAGTCTTTGGTGGAACTTTTCTCCTCCTCTTCTCTCTCCTCATACCTTCCACAGCCTGACCATGCTGGACACCATCAGCAACCAGTACGACTCCTTCATCTACTGGAGGATGCCAATCCCTCGACTGGACGTAGCAGAGCTGGAAGGGTTGGGGCTCAATGACATGACCCTCTACAAGCCCAAAGGAGGTTTGGGCAAGTTGATGGGCAAGAGAGATCGAGGCAACCAAGACCTGGCCCAAGAAGAGGACACTCTGCTGCAGTTCAACAGCTTTAACTTCTGGCGAGCTCCGATCGCCAGTATTAGCTCCTTGGATTTTGAGTTGATTTGAAGTCTTTTCTCCTCCTCCTCCTCCTCCTCCTCCTCTTCCCCCCTGTCCTCTCCCCTCTCCACCAAGCAGGCCAAAATTTGGGGTTGGGGCCCATTTGGAGGGTGGTGGGATGGAGTTTTTGGTTGGTTCTGGGTAGTTTTGTCATTGTAAGTCAGTAGTTCAGCGTGGCCTTGGCAGTGTTGAGCTCTGCAGAAAACTTCAAGCTTTGTTCACCTTCTCCCTCTCTACTTTCTCCCTCTCCACCTTCTGCCTCTTCACCTTCTCCCTCTTCATTTTCTCCCTCTCCACCTTCTCCCTCTTTACCTTCTCCACTTTCTCCCTCTCCTCCCTCTCCCTCTTCTCTCTCTCCACCTTCTCCATCTTCTCCCTCTCCACCTTCTCCCTCCTCCCTCTCCTCCCTTTCCACCTTCTCCCTCCTCCCTCTCCTTCTCCCTTGCCACCTTCTCCCTCTTAATTTTCTCCCTCTCCACCTTCTTCTTAATTTTCTCCCTCTCCCTCTCCACCTTCTCCACCTTCTCCCTCTCCACCTTCTCCCTCTCAACCTTCTCCCTCTCCACCTTCTGCCTCTTCACCTTCTCCCTCTTTTCTCCCTCTCCACCTTCTCCCTCCTCCCTCCTCCCCCTCCTTCTCCCTCTCCACCTTCTCCCTCCTCCCTTCCCTCCCTCTCCTCCCTCTCCTCCCTCTCCACCTTCTCCCTCTCCTTCTCCCTCTCCACCTTCTCCCTCTTCATTTTCTCCCTCTCCACCTTCTTCTTCTCCCTCTTCTCCCTCCATATTCTCCCTCTCCACCTTCTCCCTCTTCATTTTCTCCCTCTCCACCTTCTTCTTCTCCCTCTTCTCCCTCCATATTCTCCCTCTCCACCTTCTCCCTCTTCATTTTCTCCCTCTCCCTCTCCACCCTCTCCACCTTCTCCCTCTTCAACTTCCTCACCTTCTCCCTCTCCACCCTCCACTCTCTCCTTCTCCTTCTCCACCCTCTCCCTCTCCTCCCTCTCCACCTTCTCTACCTTCTCCCTTTCCACCTTCTCCCTCTTAATTTTCTCCCTCTTCACCTTCTTCCTCCTCCCTCTCCCTCTCCTTCTCCCTTTCCACCTTCTCCCTCTTAATTTTCTCCCTCTCCCTCTCCTCCCTCTCCTTTTTCTCCCTCTCCACCTTCTCCATCTTCTCCCTCTTAATTTTCTCCCTCTCCACCTTCTCCACCTTCTCCATTTCCACCTTCTTCCTTTTAATTTCTCCCTCTCCCTCTCCTCCTTCTCCTCCTTCTCCTCCTTCTCCTCCTTCTCCTCCTTCTCCTCCTTCTTCTCCTTCTCCTCCTTCTCCTCCTTCTTCTCCTTCTCCTCCTTCTCCTTCTTCTCCCTCTCCTCCTTCTCCACCTTCTCCCTCTCCCATTCCCTCCCATTTCCCCACTCACTTTTCCCAATTTTGGGAGCTACTGGACAATTCCCTCCCATCCCTCCCCCCTCATCTTGGTATCCCCAAAATTCTCCTTGTCCCATGGGATAATTTTCCACCTCATTCCTCACATCCTTTTTTAAGCAACTCATTTGGGAGGAGCAATGGGAAAATCTCCTTTTTTTTTATTAATTTTTTTGGGGCAGAAAACATCGATTCTCTTTATTCTCCTGACCCAATTTAGCCTAAATTTGCTTTATTCCTTCCCCTTCTCCTCTATAATATGAGATGGAACATTCCCAGACTTTTTCCTTGAGAAAAATCCTCATTTTTCAGCTTTTGAATTGGGCCAAAATCGAAAAAAAATGAGACCCAAGAATGTAAAAACACATAGAAATATTATGGGGTCAAATCTTAGTGTTATTGGCCCAAAATTGGATTTTTTCATCTTTTTTTTTTTTGCTGTTTCATGTGATTTATTCCTTCCTTGGTCCATCATGAGGTTTGGATTGGTGACAAAAGTTAAGCTGGAAAAAAAAAAAGGAGAATTTCCTTTGATTTTCCCCCTTAAATTAAAGTATTTCTGCTTTTTTCATCCTTAAAAAATCCCCAAAAACCTCAATTCATTCAACTGGAAATTTGAATTTTCCTTGAGGAGATTTCAGCTTTATTTCTGAGCATCATCTCAAAATGGAAAAGGGAAAAAAAAAAACCAAACTAGAAGAATTTTGGGGGTTTTTTCCCTTCCAAGATTGGTTTGTCTTCCTAAATGTGATTTTTTTGGGGGTTGAAATGATGTGGAAAATCCAAAAATTGTCCTGAAATGGTTGGGAGGTTGTGGTAGGATAAGGCAGAACTTAAAAACTGCCTAAAAAATAGGGAAAAATGGGGAAAAAAATCGGAATTCTGCTCGAAAAATGAGATGCAGCTTATTGTAACCTACAAAAATGAGCAAAATTGTTGATTTTTCAACTATTTCTGTCCAAAAAGAGGTGAAAAATGTCAAATTTTCCTCTGCAAAGCTGAGGAAAAACTGGAGGAGAAATTATTTATTCTGCAACTTGAAATAAAATCAGTGAAACAATCCAAAAATCCCTATGGATATCAATCCTGGCATGGAATTCTTTGTGTAATTTGCCATTAAAAGTGATTTAAAAATCCTTTTTTTAATTATTTTTTCTTGATGATGAGCTGAGAATTGTCTTGGTCTGTGATGTGGAGAAATTTAAGTGGGGAAAAATGGAAGTTAAGGGGAATTTTGGGGAATGTTAAGGATTTTTTGGGATATTTGAGCTTTTTTTAAGGTGTAAATTGAGGGAAAAAAAGGGAATTTTGAGTGGGTCAGAGGGGGAATTGGGATATGGGTATTAGGATAATTTGGACATGGAATTTGGGATAATTTGGAGTTGGGAGTTGGGATAATTTGGACCTGGAATTTGGGATAATTTGGAGTTGGGAGTTGGGATAATTTGGACCTGGAATTTGGGATAATTTGGAGTTGGGAGTTGGGATAATTTGGACCTGGAATTTGGGATAATTTGGAGTTGGGAGTTGGGATAATTTGGACCTGGAATTTGGGATAATTTGGAGTTGGGAGTTGGGATAATTTGGACCTGGAATTTGGGATAATTTGGAGTTGGGAGTTGGGATAATTTGGACCTGGAATTTGGGATAATTTGGAGTTGGGAGTTGGGATAATTTGGACCTGGAATTTGGGATAATTTGGAGTTGGGAGTTGGGATAATTTGGACCTGGAATTTGGGATAATTTGGAGTTGGGAGTTGGGATAATTTGGACCTGGAATTTGGGATAATTTGGAGTTGGGAGTTGGGATAATTTGGACCTGGAATTTGGGATAATTTGGAGTTGGGAGTTGGGATAATTTGGACCTGGAGAGCAAAAATTCCTAAAATTTCTCCCCAGTA